TATAAATCTTAATAAAGCGCGATCTAATCCAGCGCTTTGAAAATGATGAAAGGTCTTTACCCAGAAGATTTAGGTATTAACACTAAAGAGAGAATTTTTAGGATTGTTTCGGTATTTCACAATTAGTGGAGCCGTAGGGGTTAGAATAGAAGAAGAGGAGAGTTACGGGCCTCAGTTTGAGTGTAAAAATAATTCTAATTGCGGCTACTAGTAGGCGCGAATGCTGTTGTTATTTCAGTTATTGTAACTAGTATTGCTTTCCTGTTCTTGGATGAGCCTAATTGTTTCAACTTTTTAAATAACGGTGGAGCGCTTATGTGTGTGATTTCTGATATTCGTTACTATCGTGGACGATCAGTTTTTACAAGTGGTTTCAATGTTTTGGAGACAAAAGTGTACTTAAAATTTCTTTTTAACTTCACCTATAAATCTATGGTATATAGTTAAACAAGGTAAATATGCAGCTTCTTAAAATAATGGTTATTATAGGTCATTTCCTCTTGGTATTTTTAATTAACATAGATGATCGCTTTCTGTGTCTCATTTAGAAACAACAAAAAATACGGTTCTGCTTAGGAGTTAAAAGTAGACTTATCGGACCTCTTTAATTTTATTTAGAAAATTTAATGGTTTGATAAAAAATACATATGGATTAATATTATTATAGACCGCTATTGTGCAATATCTATTGACCGCAATGTACAATAGTTGTTTCAGAGTATAGGTAAATGTTGATTTTCGTATCAATATGCGGTTTTTAAACCTAATCTAACCTATCGTAGACCTGTAGTTCCAGGATATAGATTTCTTTCTTGTAATATGGAGAAACGTCTGTAATAAAATAGGCGTAAAATGTTCCTAACATAATGTTCTAATATGAATTGAAATAAAACTTTCTAAACTTTGGTTGGCAGAATTATCGGCTTAAGGAGGTTTGCATATAATTTATTAATTCATTAATATATTGAACACAATATCACTATAGAAAACATTCTATAAATCATTTGTGCAAATTTATATAAAATAAACAAAAATATTATTTACCATCAACCATTCGTTCTCTGGTCTTTGGATATTTGCTGACTTGTTTGTTCCCAGCAGATGTCGGAGATGTCGTCGATGTCGCCGCCGCTGAGGATTTCTTCGCCAATGAATTTCGTGGCGAAGATGAAGACATTTTGTGTGTTTTTATTACAGTTTGTTGGCTATTAATTTATTAATTTTTTTTTAATTAATATGTATTTCTATTTTATTACACTTTACTAGTTTGCAAGCTAAAAAATATTTTTCTGAAAATTAAAATTTTATTTGTGATTTTTATAAAACACATAAAAATTCTTTTGATAGAAAATTTTTTAAGAAAATAAATTTTATTTTTTATAAGAAATTAATTAAATTTTTTTCTATGTCGTTTTATTTAGTTGGCTCTTTTATTTATATTTTTAATTTTTAATTTATAATTTGCACACACATCAATTAGACATTTTCAACACCAGACACAAATGCCAACTAGTGCGGACACCAACACACACCAACACACCAACACTCCAACACACACACACATACATGCACACAATTGACAATTTATGCCACTCAGCCATGAAATTTTGACAAGTTGCACGCAGAAAATTTTGAACTTGAACTTCTGCTATTTTCCATTTTTATTTTATAATAACAATAAATTTTTATATAAAATATATATGCACATTTATATAGTATATTTAACTATCTGTGTTTAATTTAAATTTATTTTTAAATTTTTACTTTTAAAAAACTTTAACACACTTCTAATCTTCGTGCCTTCAGTAGTTAGACACTCTTCGCACTTGATTCCTCCAAGTTTTGGCAAATTTTGCCAATTTTTTTTGCATGGGTTTTATTTAAAATTTTAGTATATTTAAATAAATATTGATTTTTCTTTAATTTTATAAAATTAAGATTTTGCAAATACACAATTTTTTTTTACGATATTTTTAACGCGCTACCAACGCGACTACTCTCGAATTCTGAAAAGTGTGCGTATTTTTGCAACCAAGCATCGCCCATCGACAAATTTCGACTAGAAAATTTTGAGATTTTTTTCTGCCCTTGAATTTTCCCCTAGAGGATCGTTTTTATAAATAAAATCATTTTCAATACTTTTCTCAGAGAAACAATCGACAATTTCGTTCTCCAATGGTCTAGCATGTTTAGGAAAATTCGATGTCAAAATGTTGGAGAAATACTATTTAGTACGAATATATTGATATATATTAGTAGATTTTTATTTAACAATATTCTAAATTTACAATTGAAATTCACAATTAATAATAAGTTTAATTAATTAATAAGATTTTCCTAATAAATGATTTTAAATAAGAGATGAGTTCCATATAATTGCTATTATACCCAACAAATATCTCATTCCATCAAGTTTTTGACAATCATTCCAAGAAATTAAGCATTTCTTAAAAACTGCAGATGGAGTACTACTGTAACAAATAATATAATAATATCAAAAAGGGAAGTCCTATTCAACATGTAAGGAAAAAACATACCTAAAATATGACTGACAGATTGAAAAAATTTGGAATCAATCAAGATAACTCATATGACAGTCTTCAAACATCGGACAGAAAGCAACTCCAAAACTAGAGAATGTTTGATGGATAAAATGAACTCACAAAATACCAAGATAGATTAGATATAAATATATAATACAAATTTGGAATCAATTAAGATAACTAAGAGAGTTACATAGAGAGTGACTGACAGATTAAACATATTTGGATTCAATCAAGATAACTCATATGACAGTCTTCAAATATCGGACAGAAAGCAACTCCAAAAGCAAGAAATGTTTGAGAGATATAGATATATATAGATAACTTATTTGAGATATGTTTTCTAAATTGAACAGGAAGTAATATCAATCTGATTATATTATTATTAGGTGTGAAAATGCACTGAAGCCATTATATGTGCGATTTATAGCCTCGTACCGTAATATGATGTGATTTAAACAAACCAAGTTGATGTTTTACAAAATAGGCGCTGCTGTAGAGTTCTGTTCAAGAGACAGGTAATACCTTAAGCAACCTTAGTAAGCATTACTAACACAAATCTAAATTAAGTTCTTTAAAACTGAATCGAGGGTGAACTTCAATCCCTAGCAAAAATAACGCTATTGTTAAATTTATAGTTAATAAATAATTAATAATTAATTATGTTGCTTAAACAAATACTTTTATAATTAATTTTATTAAATATAACTTGCATATATCTTAAAAATATATCATAGAGCAACGTGTTAAGACACAAAAAAAATAAACAAAATAATGTATATTTTAATATCTAAAAGGTGTGATCCATAATGTATATTTTAATATCTAAAAAGTGAGATCCATAGATTCAGTTTTTTAAAGATCTATGTATATTATTTCAATAATTCTTTCTAGATTCAATTTTAAATTAACTTAATTTAAAAAAGATTACATTAATTTTAATTAATCCGAAGGTGCAATATAAAATTAAGAAAATTCTTATTAGTACCTAAAATAATAAAAAAATGTTAGCATATAGGTATGCTAGGCCCTCAGTTTAATTTTAGAGCGCGTTGGTCTCTTACACTTGAAATCAAATGAAATCTGAGTGACCATGAGAATTGCAAAAAACAAGAGAGCCCCATACTTTGTTGGGCCTGTTGGATCTCAATTCAGGTGGGCGTCATTTATTATAAATTTTGGTTTCGTGCGCGCCTAGTGCAAAAAATTAAAGTTGAAATTCTCACTCTTTAACTGAAATAGACAGGTTCACATGAATATGCGATAAGATTTTTTATGAAGCAATAAAAAATTCAAATTATGTTGGCTTCTACTTAAATCTTATAAAGTAAAGTACCAAATGATTTTTTTTTGCTACAAAAATATAAAAAAAATATATTTGTATATATTTAAATTTATACAAATAAATATTTTTATACAAGCATATGAACAGTATTTATAATAACAAATATCCAACTGATTTAATGTTTAAAAACTTAGCAGAGTTTAGTTATTACAGATACCATCAATACTAAAAATATTCACTTTTGATATAAATATATCATTGATTGCATTAATTCTATTCTTGAAAATCTGTTATTATTTTCTATTTATTAATTAGAGAAATTAAAAATTGTTTTTAATTTATATAGTATTTTATTAAGTTCATTTATCCACAATTGGAATAACCATTGTTTCCATATATAAAAATATAGAATATATAAACATACTATATAAATTTTTAAAATACTATATAATTTAAGAGATATTTGTTTATTATATTTATATTTAAAGTTAGGCAAACGCAACGCCAAATATTTTTGGTTCAACCCAATTTATAATAGATACATTGCAATACTATATCTAGAAAATCTAAGAGTCAATTTTACCAAAAATTAAAGTTCAGCTTAAATTTAGATACCTGAAGTATTGAATCTTTATTTTTCAGTAGGTGAAATCCACAATGTATTCGATTGAAACCACCTCTTGAGATCTTAGCCATTGAAATGTAAAAAACGTATTGCTGAAATCATGAAAGTTCACGAAGTATAATCTGTGGGTTATCTAAATTTATCGAAGCTAGGACTGATAATGTAAATTACTTCAATTTCAAGCGTTGAAGGTTTACTTTTGTATAAAGACAATTAAACACTACACTCCTAGAAGCGAATTGTAATATTCGTGGGTAAGTAAATGGAGAGTTGGTACAAATGGAGAGTCAAGATGTATCAAAATAAATTTGAAAAAAAAGTTCGGTGGTAAGTTTACCCGTTTACGGAATATCCAGAAAAAGATTGTGTAAGGTTAAAGAATATCAGAGTGCTTAAGTTAATATAAAGTCCGTATTTAATTATGATTTCTGCAATTCTTTAAAGTCCGTGATATGAGCAAGAATTATTTGTCGGCCTGGTACAATACGTGACACGTATGAAAAGTTCTGTAAAATGAACAGTTTTTCTCGTTAGTATAGTATAGTATTGTATCTGTGTTCAAGAATATAACGTCTTTTTATTTCTACTTTAAAACAATTTATTAATATCAAGATCACAGAGATGACTCATGTGATCTAAAATGTGAGAGCTTTTAATAAGCACGTAAAAAGTTGTACAAAAATATTCCAATAATTGGATTTTTGACTCCTTTGGTAGTAAGTAATAAGTTTCTGTTTTATATTATATATATTTATGTTCATTTGTATTTATGATATTCTAAAAGCAATATATTTAAATATACTTTCAATGTATTTCGAGACTTTTACAGCAACAGAGTTGTATAACCCAATCAGATTTTATATCAAAAGTAAATATAACTAGTGGTAGTTACCTTTAACCTATATTATCATGACAGTGCTTCACTAAAAATTTATTGAGATAAAAACTTCCGTAATATAGCATTATTGTGTTACATTGAAGCATTTTTTTTACGGAAGAAAGCAGTGCACATACCTGCTATTGGATACTTAAGTGTCATTCACATTAACAACTTTATAGAGTGGTTATATCTGAGACTTTAGCTTTTGTTAATAGCCTTATCTTTGTTTTTTAATATTATTTTATTAAATTATTCCTATCTTATATTAGATACATAATGATCGAATTTAGGGTGCTTAAAAAGAAAATAATTTATATACCTCTAAAAAATTTTAAATTTAAGAATTTTCTTTAGAATATTTTAATAACACGGTTTGTTGTTGCATTATTTTTCTGAGATCTTGAAAGAGCGTGAAATGTGTTAAATGGACCGTTTCTTGTTGAAAATACAATTTGTGACAATGTCAGTGTTTGAATATCATAAAAAAGAAAATATTATATACCAAAGAAAAAAAAATGATTTTTTAATTTGTTCATGAATAAAATAAAGTAGTCTATAATTTTGATGGCCGATTGATATATTTTACATTGAAATTGGAAAAACCTCATTTTGATCTTTATTGTTCAAAGACATTGTGGCTGTGATAATATATGTGTACATACATAATTTTTTTATTTTAAAATTTCTGAACAATATTAATTTATTAATAATTGTATAAAGATGAAATGTAGAAATTTTATGTGTATATAATATATATCTTGCTAGATCCTTATCCGTGACACCAAGTAAATCTTATGAAGGAGAGAAGAATGAGAAGAATGAGAAGATGGTGATAAATTCTAAAATTATTAAATAAATTCTAATTATTCAAAAATAATAAAACTCATAATGTATAAATAAAGGCTCATCCCAGT